TATTTTCGTACTCTGGGTTGGAAATCTTTTTCCAAGTAGCCCAATAAATCATTTGCAATGAAGCCCCTAACCCTGTCAGATTTGCTTGTTATGTGAGCCTTTGTAGGAATCCAGAGGAGAAGCCTACAATCCATTTACAAATGGGTAAATAGGGAAAAACCCAAGTATTGGCCCAAAGGATGAAACAACACAAGGTATGGTGGAAATAAAAGATATATTTGTGCGTTTTTGTTCAATAGAATTGGAATACATAGTTAAAAGAAAAGAATAATAATATTTAACACTAATAATTTTTATTAAGTGATAATACGTGTACACAATGGTGTACACACGACTTTACACCCCCCTTATATGGAGGGAGGCCCACACATAATAAAATATTCATGGGCCCCCTTCCATGTGAGGGAAGTGTAAAGCTATGTGTACACCACAAGGTGTACACATAGCATTTTTCATTTTTATTTGGGGAGGCCTACGATAAGGGGTGATGGGAGCCCCCATGGAATGATATAGTTCATTCTTTTCGTTGCCTACTTGTTCTTAGAATCGAACCGAACCGAACTGAACCGATATACGAATTGAACTGAACCGAATCGACTTATGTGATTATGGTGCGGTTATGGAATGACAAAAAAATTTGATTGTACGATTATGATTTTGGTTGAACAAACCTCGAACCGAACCGTTGCCATCCGTAGTCAACATGGGCCAAATTTCTATTTTCTTTCTTCCAAAACCTAATACCATCAACACCACGACAAGCACCATTGATGCCAAACTCTACTACCATCCGTGTCGCTCAATACCTCCACTATAGCTGGTTTGAGTCCAATCGAATGTGAAATGATACGTTAATCATTGTTAGATCCGCTTTCAAATCTGGATATATTTTGTGAATTTGGTGATTGTTTGTAATGACAATAGCTGAACATGAATTTGGATAGCGAAATTAGTGGTGGTTCGATGGTGGTGGGATTTGGACTTGGATGAATAGTGTATTGGTCCTAGAGGATGAGTGATTAGTAAATGCAGTGTTACCCATGTGTTACCCGTATTTTCCATTGATAACACATAGCGCACAAGCGTTGGAGGAATTTAATAATATCATTTTGTAAGACGGCCCTTCTAAGTGGTGGTGTTTGTGCCTTTGCAATAGTTGACCCTACACTAGTAACAAATAAAAAAGTTTGATAGAATATTTATCCCCCATTTCAAACTATGCTAACAAAATATTGGAGAAAAATCGTCGACAATAACAAGATTCGCTAATTAATCGAAGGTTAATAACAAAAATGCAACAATGAACAAAGATTATGAACTTTTATTATAATTAAAATGTGTTCATCAAAAAAAATTATAGTGTGAATGTAATTACCTTAGAATGTTTGTTATCGTTCATATTGACTTTCAAATACTCGCTCACTATTTGATTTTTTTTTAATATTTCGCTTCCTAGAGCTTGAAAAACAATTCTAACACTTCTAGCAAGTATCGTAAAATTAGATAAGGATGGAGATATACCACATGCTTTATGCCTTTTTTGATTATATGTACTAGTTTTGATTGTCTTTTTACTCGATTGAATCTTCAATAGAGATTCATATATAAAAAAATATTTTTAACCCTATTCAAGAGAGATTATTAGAAAAATTAGGAAGATTCATCATCATTCAAGCTAGTAGTGATCAATTACGTTGAAAATTAAAGTGCAAAAAAAAAAAGCTTCTATTTGGTAGACATAAAAATAAGATTTTTTTTTTAATTATTTTTTTACAGATTTTGATAAAAGTTAATGGAATGTGTGGTTGAAAAATTGTGAATTCCATAAAATGTATAGTTAAAATTAATTATTTATTTTGACATATATTTTAATCAGATTTTTTAACGGTACCAAACATGGGCATAAATGGAGTCGAAGTCCAAATCCTTTTTATATTCAAGTTTTTTCTTCAAAATTCTCATTCAAACTTTAGTTGCTTTTTAATTAAAATTAAATTCACTTAAAATTTGTCAAATTCAATCGATTAAAGGTTAGATTTAGCCCAGTTTGGTGGATATTAAAATTAAATTTTTAATATATTATAGGAGTTGACGAAATGTGTGGTTGAAAAGTTGTGGGACTCATAAAATTTGTGATTAAAATTAATTGTTAACATTGATTTAAATTAAATTCTGAATTTTAATCGATACCAAATAAGGGCTTAATTGTTTTCCTAACTAGACACAAGTTCTCGTGAGATCGATGTTTTACCCACAACCTATTATTTGTCGAGATACTCTGTATTGATTACGAATTTTAAGTTATCATGAAAATTAATTTTAGTAAATTAGTCGTACATAAGGATTGTTTGAAGCACTTGTTTCACGACGAGAAGTTCCATGCATTTCTGAAAAAAAATAGAGTACTAACGAGTCAGTAAATATAGTAGAATTTAAAAGGATCTGAGTTTTAAACTATCCACTAAAAGTCTATGACATTATTTATGACAGCATGTGCAAACTACAAAGCGACAAGCAGGAACAAAAGGTGAGACACCTTAGCACATCATACGCTATCCTGAAATAGGTTTTCAAAAGAAAACAAGCTATATCCGATCATAATTGGCTCTTATTTCGCTCATAATGATAAGTTATCCCCGTATTTTGCCACATGTGGGGGTACGCCCTTTGAAGGACCAAGATCTCTGTTCAACTTGCTTAGTTTAGATTGACTCAGATGGGAAAAACCAGTCAAGCTTGCAAAAGAAACTACACCTTTCGCATGCTAACTAATATATTAACCTAGAGTTCCAACTCGAAAGAGAACGTTCATTTATGTGCAAGAATAGAGAGAGATTCGATATGAACATCGTGAACTTTGAATCCAAAACAAATGTCGCAGCATAAACACACACACATAAGAGATAGAGGGAGATGAAAGCACGAGAAGTTAACTCAAACACTGATTTTATTCGCACAATAGCTGATATGGCTGGTACAATACACACGAGTTCTAAAATATACATTAAACACACTCCACCTGAAGTCTAATCGGTCAATAAACTATTTTAAACGATAATGATGATGATGATGAATTATACACGCGAGCGCTGGATACAAATATACAATAATACATACAATTAGAATAGTGTTCACATGCCCACAAATTTTTATCTACTTTTCTGTATATGTTTATGCATTTGATCCTTTTTTCACGTTCTGGAAAGAATGACCAACACCAGGGCTGTGGCCTGGTCCCGTGGGTCGAAAATCATCCTTAGTTCCTGCAACAGTGTGGCTAACAGTACTAGATGTGAAACTTGGTGCTTTATGTTGGATGTGTTCTTTTTCTGAAAAAGTGTGGCCAATACCAGGACTGGTTCCTGGTGCTGTAGGTCGAAAATCATTTATATTCGTCGCATCATATCTGCCAAATTTGTTACTTTGATTCGGTGTAGTTGACGGGGGAGATTCTTTATGGAATGCTTTTAGTTGCCTTCCTTCAGTGTATAGAATTAGAAGGCATGCAATAAGGGAAAAAGAGGCACATATTTGTTGGATGTAGGCCATTTGAGGAAGGGTGGGAGGGAGGGAGGAGGAGGAGTTGCTGTTTTGCTACAGGGGAGATATGCTACCATCTCATTCACCTGATGGTATTTATAATCTTGAGAATCATGTCATGTAAGGACATAAACCGTTAAAATTTCTTAATAGAAAAAGTTGCATTGTTTATAATAGTATGAATGGTTCATATTTATTCACCTTACCACTTTCAAATTCACAATTCATTCGATTGCTTTCTTGAAGATATTCACCGTACATTACATCTTTTCCTTTTCTTCATTGTTCACTTTTTTCAAGATTTCTATATATATATATACAATTGCAACATGTCATACATGTAAAAGAGTTGACGTCTAAGTCAAAGTCAACAAGTACATATTATCAAAGATTGTTTGTCCATGCATCCTCCAAAGATAGTTGAAACTCACTAAGTCGTAATATAAGTGGTCATTCTCCAAATGGGGCGGGAAGAGCTATGCACAAAGGTTTGAACCACAGGACAGGGACGGCGACTTGCAACAAGTGGCCAACACATATCTGGTTCAACTCCATCACTTAACTACAAGTCGTTATTATTACCCGACGCTTGACATATTGCCGGCTGACTTCCGAAGGTATCCTCAAGCACAATTGAGCGTCTAGAACCAAATATGCTACCCCATCTAACGAAGTTGTGCACGTGACTAAGTCAATCAAATTAGCCACCTCCTAACATTGGGAAAATATTTAGGNTCAAGGGATGAAAGCTGAGAGTGAGCTGGAAATAACAGAAATTATGGCTGGAATTATTGAACTACAAAATAGAGAAGAAACCGGATATGGACCTGCTGTAAATACAGCAGGGAAGAAGAAGAAATATCATTCCATACTTGCTTAAGGAAAATACATTGTAAACTAATCTATTTATAGAGAAAATACTAACCAATTATCTAACAAATCTAACAATCTAACTAACATAAGAAGATACTAGAATATGCTAGAATCTGAAGCTGGAAGAAGAGGTGCTGAATTCGAACTGATCAGGTGGTGAACTGGAGTGCTGGTAAACATGCTGATGGTGCTTGAACTGGAGACATGCTGGTGTGGTTAACTGATGTTGTATGGTTGGTTAATATTCCAACAAGATTCGATATGAACATCGTGAACCTTGAGTCCAAAGCAAATGTTGCAGCATAAACACACGCATAAGAGATAGAGGGGGATGAAAGCACGAGAAGTTAACTCAAAGCACTTATTTTATTCACACAATAGCTGATATGGCTGGTACAATACCCGAGTTCTAAAATATACATTAAACACACTCCACCTGAAGTCTAATCACTCAATAAACTATTCAAGACGTAATAATAATAATAATAAATTATACACGCGAGCGCTGGATACAAATATACAATAATACATACAATTAGAATAGTGTTCACATGCCCACAAATTTTTATCTGCTTTTCTGTATATGTTTATGCATTTGATCCTTTTTTCACGTTCTGGAAAGAATGACCAACACCAGGGCTGTGGCCTGGTCCCGTGGGTCGAAAATCATCTTTAGTTCCTGCAACAGTGTGGCTAACAGTACTAGATGTGAAACTTGGAGCTTTATGTTGGATGTGTTCTTTTTGTTCTGAAAAAGAGTGGCCAATACCAGGACTGGTTCCTGGTGCTGTAGGTCGGAAATCATTTATATTCGTCGCATCATATCTGCCAAATTTGTTACTTTGATTCGGTGTAGTTGACGGGGGAGATTCTTTATGGAATGCTTTTAGTTGCCTTCCTTCAGTGTATAGAATTAGAAGGCATGCAATAAGGGAAAAAGAGGCACATATTTGTTGGATGTAGGCCATTTGAGGAAGGGTGGGAGGGAGGGAGGAGGAGGAGTTGCTGTTTTGCTACAGGGGAGATATGCTACCATCTCATTCACCTGATGGTATTTATAATCTTGAGAATCATGTCATGTACGGACATAAACCGTTAAAATTTCTTAATAGAAAAAGTTGCATTGTTTATAATAGTATGAATGGTTCATATTTATTCACCTTACCACTTTCAAATTCACAATTCATTCGATTGCTTTCTTGAAGATATTCACCGTACATTACATCTTTTCCTTTTCTTCATTGTTCACTTTTTTTCAAGATTTCTATATATATATACAATTGCGACATGTCATACATGTAAAAGAGTTGACGTCTAAGTCAAAGTCAACAAGTACATATTATCAAAGATTGTTTGTCCATGTGTCCTCCAAAGATAGTTGAAACTCACTAAGTCGTAATATAAGTGGTCATTCTCCAAATGGGGCGGGAAGAGCTATGCACAAAGGTTTGAACCACAGGACAGGGACGGCGACTTGCAACAAGTGGCCAACACATATCTGGTTCAACTCCATCACTTAACTACAAGTCGTTATTATTACCCGACGCTTGACATATTGCCGGCTGACTTCCGAAGGTATCCTCAAGCACAATTGAGCGTCTAGAACCAAATATGCTACCCCATCTAACGAAGTTGTGCACGTGACTAAGTCAATCAAATTAGCCACCTCCTAACATTGGGAAAATATTTAGGAGAAAACACAATAAATAGAAATATTGTAACCTATGTAAGTGAAAGTTTGAAATGTTACATCCTTGATATTACGGCGCAATTGCATACTTTGCCTCTGTTTAAACACAAATTTATAAATCATTCAGTCAAAGTGAAAGTCAAAGTCAAATAGTAATTCCAACAATACATTCATAACCACTAATTATTATCCACATATTTTGCGAGACCTACTACTTCTCTTACTATCACTATTTATAAATCATTTATAAATTTACCAAACGGAGGTTCTAATGGCAATTGCAGTTTTATCTTATGATATATTTGCAGTTGCTAATATTGATCCTTGATTTATCAAAATTGAATATACCCTGTGTTGTATAATATTTTTCACGTGAGAAATAAAAAGAATAATGACTTTCCTCAATCTCAATAAGATTTTCATGGTATCAGAGCTATAAAATCGGCAAGTACATTAAACGAACCAACCTCAACCACGCCTCATCATCCCAAAACGAGCCTTCCCTGACCATCCAATCAATCTACAATCATTGTTCAAGTTTGATCTCTATATAAGGCTCGTGAGTAAGACAAACTTCCAATCTCGGCGCTTCCAAATTATTCATTATCTCAAAGCCTTGGTGCGCGTCATCATATTGCTATGGATTGTTGGCCCGTGCTGCTCCTGTTTTGCTATCTATACAACAATGATAAGTAGCTCTATTTTGATCCAATGCCACCTCTCATATGATAAATGATGAATGTAACCTAAATTTTTGCAAAAAAATATTTGGGTACAAATGTTATTTATACAATACTTGAAATATTCCAATTTCTACTTAAGAAGGAAATTAAAATTAAAAGATGTTCTTGTGTTTGCTATCAATTGAAATATTTACTAAAGAGCACTACTGTATTTCCAAATTTAAGTCCTCTTGTTTCAAGGTCAAGGATCAACGCCGAAGGATAATAGCAAGTAACGAAGACGAGATGTGTGACAACATTGGACAAAGGTGTGGCACTGACATACTGTTGTAATATGTGGTTCATGTAGAGTAGAATTCACATTTATTGGAACAAATCGGCATCTTGGGCTTTAATTTACTGTTTATTTGTCGGGCACGCTTAATAGGTTGGGGTTCGGGTACGATACAGAGGTATTTTTGGATTTTTTCCTTTAATCTTGTATGGGCTCTAAAGTCTTGTATGTGTCAGGACTAGGGTTTGTATATATAGATCGTAGCCTTTCGCTCCCGTAGACGTAGGCACATCGTCGAATTATTTAAATCTGTTTTCTTATAACTTTGTCAATTTCATATTCTTCATCATTATTATTGTTGTTTAGATCACATTACGAACATAGGAGCGTCATTGTAGGGCGCGAGTTATTGATCGGGCTTTAGTATTGAGACGCTATGGGGCATCAACACAAAGCACACAGACGACATACATGAGAATTAACTGCCCTAGCACTTCTTTTTATCCGTTTAATTGCTGCTATTTTATTTTAATTCTAGGTTAAGGGTATTTTGAGCATCAAAAGCTTGGTTTTCTTTCAGCTTATTGCTATTTAAACTCTCGTAAAAGCTGAGTTATCTCTGGTAATTTTTTATAAATATGAGATTTCTCTCAATTTGCTAAACCCATCTCGATTTTCTATACATTGACCCCACCACGCATGTGTGCGCACTTAGAAACTAATTTGAAGGTCTTTCCTCAACTGATCATGATGACCTTTCATTTTTTCAGATGCTAATCATTGAATAATGTCCGGCAAATATGGAAGTTCGATTTCTTTGGTGTAATAAAATAACACAAATCAGCTCAGTTGGGTCAACACAAACGAAATGCAAAAGAAAAGGACATGGAATCTTGTGTACTTCCCACTTAATTAATTGGTTATGTGGATGGTTCATGTGAAAGATTCATATAGTTTAAGGTCGACATATACAAATGAAAGCACATCCGTCCATTGTTGTTTGAATTTAGTTTTCTTAATGAAGCTTTTGAATGAACTGCATAGGCGCTATAATGCTGAGAATATGATTAATATTCTCACTTTTAGCAATAGAAACATTTTTTCGTTAACTTATGTTGCTCTCTAGCATCTGCTGGTATAATGCATAAACAAATGACTTCTAAAGTAATATTTGTTTATAACCAATGAAGGTCCCCTAATATTTGTAATATTCCAAGTAAATTTCGACAAGAGGAGTAGGGTTACGTTTTGAAAAACTCTCGTGTTGCATCTCTCTAGAAAAAAATGAGTGTATTGTCTAGTATTACTAAGCTTTTGTTTGGAGCTCATTCTTCAACTCCAAAGTAGATAAAAAAGACCGTTGGTTGAGAAAGTGGGACCCACATGTGAGACAAATTGTCAAAAATGGTGGCTGAATTTGAAGTATAACGGTCAAATAATGTATTCTTTTGGTGAAAGAATGAGCTCCAAACAGGAAATATAGCATGTTTGTCAGAGTTTATATTGTAATTTAAATTGGTCAAACGCACTTTTATTTATAGGATCCATAACTTGATTCCTACTTTTGTTAATGATTGAATATTGGCTCTTTACATTTGCACCGAAAATGTTTGTGTAAAAATAAAATCATGATGTCCACTAAGTGCAACAAGAGCAACTACCACTTGAGGAAAAAGGAACTTTGTTTTGAAATGGATGGCTATCATAAACAGCCGTAGATTTGACCGAATATCATGGTCGTGACTGAAGAAACGATTTGTCCTTTTGCATATGTACTAGTCAAATGCCCGTGCAATGCATGGGCTGTGTTCTTTTTGAGGCAATATTAGTGTGTCGATCATTCAGGATTGATAGCAGATATGTGCTGTGGTTTAGATTGGCAAAATGCATGGGTTGAATTATGATAAAGGACTGAACATTTAAATCTTCTAAGTACAGATAATGCTTTAAATTATTTGTTCAAGTTCGAGGGGACCAGTCTTGTCATTTCTTATTTAGCTATATAATAGCCATTTCCAGTTGGTTAAAATAAATGACTATATGTTGGATATGTTTCAGCGGCTTGTATATCCTAAGTCCTCAACCTTCACTTGTTTAAAATTGAATCTAACCCACCTTCTCAATTGAGCATCAAATGATAGATGTAAGAAAAAAGGATACAAGAGATGCAGAATACAATTAGGCAGCATTGCTAGCTTATACATCTAGATTATAACCATTCCTATTCACCTTAATTGTCCCATAGCTTTTTCCATGGGAGAATTACTCAGAACCTTGAGAAGTACTCAAAACGAAAAAAAAAATTATCTTCACAGAAAATTTCATCATGCCCATTCCGCTGTTATGATTTCATCACATTTTGCAAGACTTGTACATCGCCATGGAAAATAAAAGCACGCCGTAAATCGAGTATAAGTAATCTGATGAATGCATACAATCCAAGAATAATCTTTATTTAAAAACTGGCCGTCATAGATACAAACTCTGTTTCTTTATCATTATCCTAACTGAATATAATCGAACTGCTCAAATTAATTCAAAAATCTTTGGCATATGAAATACAATCACCCGACAAACAAAGCAATCAAGTTTCTATGCAGATCACCTTCGCTGCAGATACAGCTGCTTGACCCAAGTGGGATTGGAAGTCATTGTTGATGTTTGGTTGCATGTGTAGAATTTCTGTCAGAATTTTATAGCAATCAATAATGGAGAATCACAGTTCAACTAAAAGGAAGCAAAGAAAAACCAAAATAAAAGGAGAATTACAGCGGGAGCTTCTTCAATTATCTTCTGATATCTTCTCCGGACACTGGAATCTCTCTCGTTAAGATGTATTACATTACCGAGTTTGTCCCCAAAGATCTACAAATTGTAGTTCAGATAAAACCAAGTTCAGAGTCACATGTTCCGAATTGCTTTAATTATGATCTTGTTGTAGGTGAATTTTGGGAGCATGAAGTAGAAGAAATTCATGAATTATATTTAGATCCTGTTTGAGCCCCATTTTTCAAAAATCTATTTTTCTCCAATCTCATTTTAAATCACACATTCTCCAATAAAATAATTCCAAAGGGTGAAAATGGCTATAGACGCCCTTGTAAGATAACTATGAATGAATGGCCTGACGCATATGGTTAAATTCAATTCCCCCTATAGTTCCCACTTAAACGATGAGGCAAATCCATTATAATATTAATTATAATTTGAGCCTTGTAACGGATAATAATACAAATGACATTAAACAAAGATGTCCCAGTGTAACGTTCAAATATCACAGAATAGAAATTCAGTTTCAATTATTTTGAACCAAGACGAAAT